GACAGACAGACAGACAGACAGACAGACAGACAGACAGAGAGACAGACAGACAGACAGACAGACAGACAGACAGACAGACAGACAGACAGACAGACCCTCTACTGGTCAGTCTGAAGACTGAAATTAATAGTGTGGACACTCAAACACAGGGCGTGTACATGGGCGTATACACTGATTTTGGACAGGACAAAAAATTGAACAATCACACGAAAGGGCGTATGCCAACAGATGGCACATTTTCGAAGTGAAATTATAAAAAACAGTGCAAAACTAATCTTGCTCGTTGTTTGATATCTTATCATGCCCACATTATCCAAATATCCCGATGCTAGGATGCAGTTTACTAAAATGACAAGGGAAAAGCATGAAGCAACCAAAGTCTGAAAATCTTTAAATCGCTCTCCTGAAAAAGTAAGAAAACAGGGATACGCCCTTTCATGTGACAGGCGACGGATTTCATGAAACCCTTCTCGAAATCGTTCAAAAACACATACCAAAATTATCCATCAAACCCCGAAAAAATAAATGTTGGTTCACTGAAGACTGCCAAAAAGCTGTTGCGGCCAAAAAAATCAGCTCTCAGGAAGTTCGTCAACTCTAAAACAAACGAAGACCTCATTAATTTCAAAATTGCGCGAAGAATAATCAGAACGGCCAAAAAAATAAACATCTTTTCGAAATTATGTCTCTAAAATAAACAACAACACACCAATGCACAAAGTCTGGAAGATGATAAAGAAATTAAAACGGACTAAAAAAGACACAATCAAACACATCCTAAAACCGAATAACTCCTTCGTAGAAACCGAAAAAACAGTAGCTGACTGTATAGCATCAACTCTTTCCGGAAATTCCTCTACCCACAATTACAACCCTGAATTCAAAAAAATAAAAATGTCTTCTGAAAAGACAACTGTTGATTTTACCTCTTCAAATGAAGAAAACTATAATTGCAGATTTTCTCTTAATGAATTAAAATGTAATATTGCAGAACTATCAAACACAGCTCTAGGCCCTGATCAAATACACAACGAAATCATCAAACGTCTTCCAGACGAAACACTCCTATTACTCCTTGATATTTACAATGAACTCTGGCATTCTCAACAATTTCCGAACAGTTGGCGTTTTGCCACTATTATACCAATCCCAAAACCAGGAAAAGATCACTCTAATCCATCAAACTACCGTCCCATAGCCCTTACAAACTGTTTCTGCAAACTTATGGAAAAACTTATTAACAAACGTCTAATGTGGTTTCTCGAAACCTCAAACTCCTTATCCAATTTCCGATGCGGTTTTCGCAAAAATCGCTCTACTATTGACCATCTCGTCCGACTTGAAACTTTCATTCGGGAAGCTTTCATTCGAAAAGAGCACCTTGTGGTTATTTTTTCGACTTAGAAAAAGCCTTCGACACCACATGGAAACATGGTATTTTACAATACCTGCGTGACTTGGGCTTACGCGGAAATCTTTTCAAGTAAAAGTAGGTTCAACCCTATCAAATTTACACACCCAAGAAGAAGGTGTCCCCCAGGGAAGCATCTTATCGCCCATTCTTTTCGAAATCAAAATCAATTCCATCCCAAAAACCCTTCAAACCAATATTGACTGCTCACTTTACGTTGACGACTTCCTGATCTGCTATAAATCCAAATCCAAAATGGTTCACATTGAACGCCAGCTTCAGCTGCAACTCCATAAACTGGAAACTTGGGCAAACGGGCACGGGTTCAAATTTTCCACATTAAAAACAAACTTGGTACATTTTTGTTTGTCGCACAAGTGTGTGCGACAACCAGATTTATATTTGTTCGGAGAGAAAATTCCTGTTAAAAAACAAGCTCGTTTCCTGGGCGTAATCTTTGACAATAAACTTTCTTTCCTGCCTCACTTGAAAGACCTAAAGACGAGGTGTCAGAGTGCTCTCAACGCCTTAAAAGTATTATGCAATCCTGAATGGGGAGGAGATACTGAAATACTTCTTTAACTTTACCGTTCCCTTGTCCGTTCCAGATTGGACGATGCCAGTCCTGTTTACGGATCAGCCAGAAAGTCTTACCTCAAAATTTTAGACCCTGTTCAGAACCAAGGCCTTCGCCTTTCCCTAGGCGCTTTTCGTACTTCACCTGTAGAAAGTTTAGAGGCAGAAGCGCATGAACCATTTTTAGAACTTAGAAGGAAAAAACTCTTTGCAGTACGCTTTGAAACTTAGCTCAGTCCCCCAAAACCCAGCCAACAAATGTGTCTTTGGCTTTCCCGAAGATCTAAAAACTCTAACCTCCTTAGGAAATAAAGTAAGCCCTTTCGGAATAAGAATCCAGAATCTTAAAGACATTGATTTTTCTGAAGACATAATCGAGCCCTTTGCCATGTCCAGCATACCTCCATAGCATTTAACCAAACCTAACATAGATACTAGTGACCCCCAGTGGGTCGGGGGGATATAAATAGACCCACTGCTTCGTCTGCAGAAGGTGCAACCCCTTCAAAGGCGGAGTGTCGCACAGGGACCCCAACCCTCTGGGATCCGTGAGCGACACTTACTTTGGTGTATCCTCCTCTTCTCCTTCCTTCTTTCTTTCTTCTTCTATCTTTCCTACCACCGCTGACCTCATGTGCAGCAAAACGAGAGGTCACCCATCCCACAGAGTGGGCGCCTTGTTGACCGTGAGGTGCGACCCGTGCGGAGGGAAACCGGGTACCTGGCGGTTGAGGTGAGATCAGTCCACGGACTGTCCCTCACCAACACACCTCTTTGGCCCAGGTTTTCCTCTTAGACGGGAGGGTGGCACGGCCCATGCCACTCAATCGGTTGAGAGCTGAAACCCCATCAAGCCCTGGGTCAATCTTGACGGGAGGGTCTTGTACTTTCTCGTTGAGAGTATAGCTCCGAGGTAGCCCTGGCACAGGTCATCCGAGCAATGTGTCCCCTTGTTGGGCTCCGTGGCGGGCGGGGAGCCCCGGAGTCGAATCAAATACAAAACTCTCATGGTATCCAAATCAAAACAAGACCCTTCCCCAGCTCCCAACGTTAAAAAGTCTCGGCTCGCGGAAGCGGGTGCGGCCGCCGAGCCGAGCAAAAATTCAAAAACCAGTAAACGGACCTTTACCGTTGCTTCTTTCCTCCCTTCTCCCAGGGAGCTCCCGAAGCAGCCGTACGTGGCCATCTGCTGCAAAGAAGACGCACAGAAGAAGATCACTGATCTAAATTTGTTCAAGACGGGAGATGCACTACGACAGGTTCTGGGATACATTCCTACGAATGTCCAGAAGCTGTCCTCTGGTGTACTCCTCGTCAAGTGCGCAACTGAAGACGAAGTGACCAAACTCCTGGATACCACGACCTTCGGCGGTATTCCATGTAGGTCCGAGCGCTACCAGAAATTCAACCGCTCGAAAGGCGTCGTCCGCAGCCATGAGCTGAAAGGCTGCTCCATGGAAGAAATTGTGGAGCACTGTGAGGGAGTGGTCGAAGCCCGCCGGATTACTCTTCGGCGGGGAGAGACTACTATTGAAACGAACACGATCGTCCTTACTTTCGAATCGTGTCGCCCTCCAGCCACCGTTCGGGCATCTTACTTGGTACTCGACGTACGACCCTATGTGCCGAACCCTCTGCGCTGTTTCAAGTGTCAGAAGTTCGGCCATAGCCAGTCACGGTGCGTGCTCCAGTCTGTGGGAGAGCCACTGGGAAAAACCAGAAAAATAATAAACTATATGAAATAAAACCCAAACTAGAACAGCGAAATCCTTCGGATCTCTCCAGAAGAGACGAAGTCATTTTTACTCGATTGCGCATCGGACACACTGCCCTGACCCACAAATACCTCCTACAGGGAGATGAGAAGCCGTTCTGTGTCGGATGCGACACAGATTTTACCATTAGACACATTTTAACAGAATGTCTAGACTTTGGAGAAATCCGAAGGAAATATTATAAATGCAAGAAATTGCAGGATATTTTTTCTTTCGTTGTTCCCAGCAGAATTTTAAATTTTATAAAGGCCATTGGCCATTATGGCGAGTTGTAGAGTGAATTTGATATTTTTAAAAATTTTTATTGTTACTTAAAAGTCGTTTTAGATCACAAATGTATTTACACCGAATTTGAATATTTTAACTTTTTAGCATTTTAAAGTAAATTAGTTAACCAGTCGTGAAGTGAACTTTCGCAGAGGTGAACAACTTGTGTTTCGCGCGCTCATATGACCTTAGCAGTTGCGAGCGCCGTAAAACCTTATACTATACATACATACATACAAAAAAAAAACGCTCGTTTCCTGGGCGTATTCTTCGACAAAAAACTTCCACACATAAATGACCTGTAGAAAGTTTAAAGGCAGAAGCTCACAAACGATCTCAAGATAGCTCTAGTACGCTTTGAAACTTAGCTTAGTTCCCCGAAACCGAGCCCACACGCGTTTTTGGCCTTTCCAAAGATCTACAAACTTGAAATAAAGTCGGCGCTTTTGTAATGAGAATCCAAAACGACCTTGAAGATATTGATTTTTCTGAAAACACCATCGAACCCTTTACCATGTCGAGTATACCTCAACGGCTTTCAGCTTAATCGTATATAAAAACAAGTCTTGAAAAACACATCAAAAAAACTAGAGACAGGCTACGTACCTTAAAGCATACAATCAACCTTTAAAAACATCATAAAGTAGAGTAACTTTTTTACAGATGAATAAAAATAATGCTGTTGTCTCTCTGCTGCACAGTTTGGCACTGTCGACTTGGTCTCTGTGGTTTAGCGTTTTGGCACTTCGCTATCGCACGCAGGAGACTTAAGTTCGATTCCAGAGTGGGTAGGAAATTGGAGGATGTATCCCTCTCAGCCTGTGTTGTCCCTGACAGGTAGGGCCAGAAACCCACCTCCTAAATGATCCAAGAGTGTCAATGGGGGCCGTTAAAAAATTCGAAGTCGAAAGGCAGAAAAGTAATTACACAAATCGATAACTTTTAAAAATCTTAACACTTTTTCGTTTCAGCGCCGCAAAATCAGCAGATATGGACGACGGAAAGCGGCCCTCTGATTCCAGATGCGAGATCACAACTGCTGTCTGTATACCCTTACCGGTTAGCTGGTCCTGCGTACGCAACACAGCACCCTGGAAATTTGAATCCTTACGCACAGGCTTTTTGGAATCATGCTGGCGTTAGACTCCCCCCAATGTTGGCTGGACACACCTTTAGTACCATGTCTGCACCTGGTCCGCAGTGGATTCCGGGAATGGCACCTTCGAGTAACTTTGGAATAGGAGCTCCACCAATACCATATTATTATGGGATGAACCCGACAGTGACCTCAGCTCAAGACGGTCGCGAATTAGGTGAAATCGTTAGAACAGATAAAAGGCAGAACACTAATGACGATACGCGTATTGACTCTGACCCTAATAAACAATTCTACGAGCCAATTTCTCCCCCTAAAACAAGCCACACAGAATATGAGGCTCGAGCTCGCACTCTCCAGTCATCTTTGAACTTTGATCGGCAATCGATGCACAATATTTCAGCCTTTCATCATCAGTCTCAGCCTCAACCAACGTCCTCGTTTTCGACAGATTATCCATACCATCGTTCCAACCAGAACGTATCGGGGCCTGTGTTTCCACAAGGAGTACAGACTGGCCAATACTCTCCAATTTGTCGCGGTTCAGGAGGTGTAAAAAAATCGGAAAACTTGCGGCGAAAAGCCCTCTTGAACTCAGCATCATCAGCTCTAACCGTTACTGATTCAACACAACCACCGAATGCTGCACTGGATCTAGCTACAAACGTAAACGACAAAGGGCCCGAGAACACCTCTTGCGTCTCCAAACCATCATCAGATAACCAAACGACGTCACTGGATCTGGTAAACCGACAGAACTCGGCAACTTCTTCAACCCATACCAAAACGTCTCATCACAACCCTGGCGATCAAAGCAATCCTTTACCCCAAATTAGCCAAGAAGAATTAACAAATCGTTATTATCAAGCTATGTACTCAAACTTAACGCAGTATGACCATCAAGCAATCCTATCTGATACTTACCAGGCGCAATTATTACGGAGTATGCTTTTAAATTCCCCTAATGCGCAATTCGATTATTCAAAACATGTTCTTCTGCAAAACCTTCCTCCTGGCGATAGAGTCAGCCATTCTGATACTACTATGCTCACCCAAAACAATTCAACAAAGGCATCATCTCGAGCATCCAAGAGGACAGAATCTACTGTAAATGTCGGTTCTTCAACGTCTAGGCAACACGCACAAGTCACTCTAGGAACAGAAAACTCTGGACCATCTGAGGCAGTACAGTTTCCTCGGGATTTCAACTATTTTAATCGTTTACATCAGTCAGAACATTTGGCAGCGCCAGTGAGAGTTCCGGAACTGGCACCACCACAACAAAATTCACCCCGCAAGGCAAAAAGGGGCGGTAAAAACAGTAGAGGTGGAAGAGGGAAAGGTTTGCAAAATGCTGGCACTGGAACCCCAATTGAATTCCTACATCAAGAGGCCCCGGCAGAACCGACGATTTGCAGTTCTACTATGGTTAGCACTGGAGCTTGCACAGATGTTTACCATCCCACCCAATCGTCAGCCCATTTACAACAACCAAAGCAGCAGCAACAATCACTAGAGCAGCTCCAAAGACAGGCGCTTCAGCATCAGGACCAAGATCAACATCCACAGCAACAGCGTCAACATCTAGAACAGCAGCCACAACAACAACAGCGTCATCATCTAGAACAGCAACAACAACCACAACGACCAGGACAACTACAACAGAGTCCACAGCCAGAGCAGCAGCAGCAGCAACAACAACAACAAAAACAACAACAGCAGTGTAAACAACCAAATCAGCAACCACAGCGCCATCAGCCTGAACAGCAACAACAGCAGCATCAACAGCTAGAGCATGAGATACAACAGCACCAAAAGTCAGAACTACAGCTACAACAGCTAGAACAGGAACAACAACAGCGTCTGCAAGTCCGTGAACAGCAACAGCACTGTCTAGAGCTAAGCCTACAACAGCACCAAGGACTAAAGCAGTACCAACAACTTAAACAGCTGGAACAGCAACCACAACAGCGCCAACAGCCCGAGCAACAACAAGATCAGCAACAACAAGATCAGCAACAACAAGATCAGCACCAACATTCAGAGCAGGAACAACAACAGCACCAACAGCCAGAGAAGCAGCTACAACTTCAACATCGATCACCTCATAAAGCTCAACAGTCCGCGCAAATAGGAAACCACCAACAACATCAACAAGAGCAGTGGCAAAACCAGCAAGATTTGCCACAATCTGAACAGAGAAGAATAAAACCTCATGAACTGGAGCTGAAACGAAGAAAACAGTTACAAAACCAACAGATGCAACAGCAGCAGTGGTGGACACCGTCACGTCCTCCATACCTTATGAAAAATGAGAACCGTGCATCTGAAAATTCTCAACTTTTTGATTTGGGTAGAGGGTCGGCAAACGCGGGCCAACTGGTTGGTAATTTGTCTTCCGAATCCCTGGAATCCGCAAAAATTAATTTATCCGATACTCTTAGAGACAAATCTCACTCTGTTACCCAAACGTCACAGAAACCCAGTTCCAGTTCTTTTCAGCACAACATTGTCGCTAAGGCTCATCGAAAAGATTTTCCTTCTCAGACTTCAACACATTCACAAGAAACCGCTGAAGGCTCAGAGGAAAATGTTTTTACTCATGAGAGAGTAAACAGCAACATTCCTAACTTGCAAGAAAATGGAAATGTGCCTAAGCAAAAACGTTCTCAGAATCAGACACTTCAGCATTCTCGATCTATTGTGAGCAGTAATGAACTCTTTAACACTGGTCAAAATATTATTACAAATAGTCCAACCACTGAGAAAAATGTCAATGATGCTTCACTTTCTACTAACATTTCTTCGCCGCAACAAACAGCCCAATTTTTGTCGAGCAGTAATCTAAACCAAAAAGACAACTGCAGTGCTGATTCCAGGTCTACTTTGGATACTATATCAAACACCCGAATGGAATTGGTTGACGAAGTAGAAATCACAGGAAAACTAATTCCTGACAGCAAACAGACCGAAGGCTGGGGATATTCACAAACCTCTTCAAAAACTGCCACGACACACACTTTATCTGAAGCAGGGTTGGACGAGAAAAGTAATGAGGTTCATACTAGAACACCTTTCAATAACTCTAAAGAAGAATATGAAATTGGGTTATCGGTTCCCAAACATTATGGATGGTGGCAACACAAGAAAGACGACAAACATTCCAAAGGTTTTATGCACCAGGAACATGAACAATATGTATATCCAAATATAGGTGGTCATAATAAGATCTCTAATGACGGTGCCTCTATCACTAACTTCGAAGAACATCGCTCAGAGATAAAAAAGAGTGAGCAAATATTCGATCAGCGAGCAGGGCATGGGGATGGTTGTACTAGTGCCCATTCTAGCGTTGCAGAAGTGGTGAAATCACCAGGAAATACATCCTTACTTTCATTTCCGAGTGAACGCTTCAACCATGTCTTCAACACAAGGAATGAGAAAAATCTTGCGAAAGCGCAGTTCAAAGAACAAAAATCTTTGTATAACATACACGATTCGGGTACGAAGATGACACGGGTGCAACATGAAAGTGATGACCCTGGTTTGTATGCAAACCAAAAACTGTCATTCGGTGGTACGATTGGAGGGGAGTACGATCCAGTGTCATCAGAAGTGCTGTTGCCAAAATGTCGCCGCGGTACTGAAGAAGGTGATTCTTTCATCAATTCTCCCGTGAAACCGGAGCTCTCTTATCAAGATTCGAGTCAAAGACAAAAGGATGTCAGCTCGTCAGGACCACTTGAGCCTCGCTCTGAATCTTCAAATGTATCGACCTCTTCCCATTTACAAGACGGTTCTCAACCGTTTAAGGACAACTCAACAAGTAACAGAAACACACATCCTGTTCCTGAATATGCCCAGTCATTACTTGGCCTAAACAAATTAACTCGAAATTGGCTACCCAGTAATACCCAGGAAAGCGGACCTCAGAATGTCTTAACTGGCAAATATACTCACTCATTTGGAGAATCTGGTCCTTCCAAAATGGTTCCCCCAAAAAGCGATAATGGAAGGGGGAAAATTCTGGATTCCATTGTGAACTCTCTGCATTCTAACCAGAGACCGTCAAATGAACAAACTGTAAACAGTCGTTTGTCGAATTCTTGTGACACTAGGACGGCTAAAAGAACTTGCACCGATGATCAAGACTTCAACAGAAAATGGCAAAGGGTTCCCCAAGCCCTTTCATACTTAGATACTCAAGTTGAAACGAATCCTGAAAATCTGAGTGGAAAACAAAGCTCTAAGCAAAGTGACCAAGCTGACAGTGAGCTAACAACATCCTCGATACTTGCCACAATACCCCCAGGATTTTACGTGGATAATTACCAGTCTATTCGTGCCGCTGGCTCCGAATTCCCCAAAGGAGATGGATCGAACAATACCCGGAAGGTAAGTGATCGTTTTAAGACTGGTGAGGACGATTGTTCTCTAATGAATTCACAAGGAGATCAGGGACACTTCTCATTGGGAAAAAGACCGGTTAGGAAGAATTCGTGTCGACAAATATCAGAACCATACAATGTTACAAATATAAATAAAATGAATAATCACCTGGTCTTACCTGATACTCGTAAAGAAGCACATACCATAAACAGGCAATCAAGGCATAAACAGAGCGGCTTTTATCTGGAGAAAATGGAAGGGCCCCAAACAAAGAAGGGCCGTGTGGACAAGACAATCGTAAAGCTTTTAAATATCGAAGAAGTCTTATATCAGGCGGAAATGGAATTTCTCCAAGTGAAGAAACGTCATTTGGAAGAGGTAATAGCTAAAATAAGGAATGCCAACAGAAGCTCAAGTCAGATAAAAGAGGAATTGCTTCGCCAGCACACACACCTGGACGAGAAAACAAGTCAGTTCTATCTAAAAAATACTGTGAAACGCACTGCTGCTCATACTGGTCAAGAGGCAAAGGAGTTTATAAACAGCGATGGCAGTAAGAAAGCGGGCCTCCAGGACCTAGAAAACTTGTTGCGTATTGAGGGAACACATCGTGAGGAGACTACATTTCAAAAAAATATAAAAGATAAACACTTTGATCCGTGCGCTCTCATTAGGCTCCAGTCAAAGAGGCTGCCGGTGCAGGGGCAAAGCTCAGTTCAAGCAACCGAAGTTTCTACAGCAGGAAAAAGACTGCTTGCACCTTCGATAAACGTACATACTTCACAAAAGGAAAGAGACCATGGTGAAACTGATTGCTTTGGCCACAAACGTGCAAAGACGGAGGACCAAGTCGATAAGCGAAACATAAAAGAAATTAATGAGGAGTTTGAACTTACAGGCTGGTCACCGAGGTCAACAGAGCTACAGTTGAGGAACAGGCAGTTGATCAGTTTCCAGGCACCGGCAGAGTTGGTAACTACTCATGGAGAATATGTCCCTACTCTGAACGTTGTGGGGAACTCTGAACAAAACAGTGATAGGGCAAGACGGTCGGTTGAGCAAAATATAAGCACACGAAACATAAACAAGGATTCAGATTCGAACTCAAAGCTCGAGAAGGCGAAAAAGAATCGGAAACCAACCGACTTTTATCAGTGTGAAAGGATTCTCCAAAAAGCGAAGAAAACAAATTCATCAGCCAAATCAGCCAAAAAAATTGCCGAGAATTCTTTAAAGTTGTCGAAGAGCATTGTTTCTAGGAAGAAAGACCCACATGGATACAGAAGGCTTGCTGGTACCGGTAACTTACATTCGACAAAAAATCCAAAGAATAGACCAGTGGGTTCCCCTATGAAGATATATGATATCAATCCAATACGGAGGACTTTCGGAGACGACTATTTTGACGACGTTCCTGTAGTAGGAAAATACTCATCTGGAAGTGGCAGAGATAAGTGTAGACGAACTGCGGAGGCAAGTGGCGAAAGAGTTGAGCTTTCTACAAAACTCTACCACCCATGTTCAAGTTTTCAAAAGGCATTACGCCAAACGCGGAAAAAAGACAACGCTGTTTCTTTGACACCAGTGGCATCAAGGAAACACGACACTGTACCTTTGCTTCATAGGACCCCGTCTAAACCCAATCAATCATTGTCAAAAAGTTCGAAAAGAAATCGAATTGAATCAAAGTGTTCAAAGAATATAAACAAACGAATTGATGGATGTTCAAAGTTCAAAACTCGTCTTCCAAGTCTCACACACGGTTCTAGAATCAAAAACCTTGAAAACTATGCCTATGCACGAGAATTAAGCTTGATTGAGAGGAAAGGTGATAAGATCAAGCCTGCCCTTTCCTCGAGTAAGCAGGTACAGCACCCGTCACCCAAACATGTATGCGCTTCTGGAACTGAGAATACAAGTGAATTTGAAAGACACGTAAACAAAGTGAAGAGACGCTCTGTAACTTTGAAGCGAATTTGTTTCAAAACAAAAGACAAAACCACAACGTTTTCTGACACAACAGCACAGCGAGGACGACCCCACTTGGCAAAGTTCAAAACGAAAGACTATTCTCCAGCAGCGCTGCCTAACACAACACCCATGCCTGTGTCCGCTGGAGTGAGCACAAGCACGACAATAGCCTCTACAGTTCTAAGTAGTAAAATGGCAAAATCAACGGACTCGACAATGAAATCACTCACCTCGAAAAGTAAAGCAAAGCATCGACAGTGCTCAAAGTCAAGCCCAAAAGCTGATTCTCCAATAATACAAGTGCTTCCACGAAGGAGTGTTAACAAAGCAAGAACCTTTAGCGTTTCAAAAAGTCCCATGAAACGATCACCAATACCACAAAGCAGATCGAAACAATCCATAGCTAAAGACGGGTTTATTTCTCCTCTATTAAGCCCACCGATACATGTGCCTCCCCTAGCGAATTCAAGCTTGGTCAGCTCCCTTCAATCCCCAAAGAAGACATCAGGAAACATTACTATCAAATCTTGTGCCACTTATACTTCAACAAAGCACCTGTCAGTAACTTCCAAGGCAATGCGCCAGTCTACTCCAACTAATCGTCTGACAATTAAGTCAAAGGCAAAGCGCCACTCTCTTGAAACGATCAGGAGTGTATCTCCGCAGATGACGACAAACAGAACCGAGAGATATATTCCGAATAAAAAGAGAAAAGAGTCAGAAGTCATGAAACAAACGCTGGAAAAACGAGGAATATCAATACAATCGACAGAAAACGATGAGTTTTTGGCAATGCATTCTAGCATGGCCAAACCTGTGCTTACACAAGTGAATACACATATGACTAGGTGCCCTCATAATATTCCAAAGATAATGAGGACAAAATCAGGAGACATGCCAGTCGAGTGTAAACAGAAGCTAACCCGTATACATTTTCTAAAGAGACACACAACGGGGCATCATCCCAAAGCAAAACAACAGAGGGTAACCAGAACTGCACCGTACCAACTAGGTTCAAGCAGCATTAACTCTTCTCACACCCAAAAAGAAAAGACAACGAGACCAGTGTTTTCGACGAAAACTTCAAGAGAACAAAATATGAAGTCCTCAAAGAAGCCCATTGCTCTTGTAATGCAGGCGAGCCAGTCTAAACGTGGGTCTAAGGGAGAAGTCTTGATCAAATTTACTGAGCCACCCACAGTTCAAACGACATCGGTCCAGGCGGAAACGTCGCTTTCTGGAGATGACCTGCAAAGAAAACAAAACCAATCAAGAGAAAAGGAAGGAAGACATGATCTGCCAGCGATGAACTTAAGTGTTTCCAAGGCCGTGTTCTCATCAATGAGTAGAATCTCGCCGGCGACAAGTAATCGTTATGAGAAGACCAACTGGTTTGGAACAAAGCCAGTTGTCATCTCCAATGAGGCTGACGACAAGAATCTGAATAGAAAATCTACGCCATCTCTGCCTGGTTCACGGAGACAAAAGCCGCTTATAGAAACATTAATAACGAAATCTCCGTCCTGTTCTGAAAACTTGAGTAACAGTTCTGTATGCCAGGTTCGGCAAACAGCAGGGGCTCTTGGTGATAACAAAATAAGTAATCCAAAACATACACCTTGTGCAGCAAGCACAAGTTACACTGCGCTTGTCCCACACAGTGACACATCATTGGGAAAGTCGAACCTCGAGTCTGCAAAGGGAATACACGTAAACCAAATCAAAGCAAATCTGTGTAGGAGCAAAACCCGTAACGTCAACACAACCCGAGGTAAAGACAGCGGAGGCCGAGTTTCAAAGTATTCCGGCCTGAAACCTTCGTCTGCACAAAGAACTAATCTTCAATTGTATAAAGATTCCATAAGCTTATTGCCAGATGCGTTAAATAGTCTGAAAAAGAATTCTACTGTGTCTAGCGGACTTTCTTCATCGACGACATCAGAAGCGTCATTGCAAACTATATCAAATAGAAACCGAAACAATAAAGTGAGCTCCCACAGCATTAGAAGGAATTTTTCACCTGGACAAAAAGGTAGCGAATATCAATTTACAACTCCAGCTACAGGGAATATTGACGAAAGCACAGAATCAAACTATAATGTAAAGCAAGCGCTAACTCCAAATTCTACACGAGAGACTCTAATAATTACACCCATAAACAAGGTTCAAATGGCGAGTTCTGTATCAACAAAAAAACAAGATCCAAGAGAATTCTCTAAGTTTTATAATCAGAAACGTGTTGAAAAACGGCAAGGGTCTTTGCAAAAATCATCTGCAAATGAACTAAGCCAAATGCCACTTCAAAGTGCGATAACTGTTGCTGTAGAACCAACGTCCAGGCCATTAACTGATGGTTTGCCGTCGGTACCCTTCCAAACGACAGAAACCGTAGTGGTCACATCATCGCCTCTACAGTGGCCCCCGCCAGCACCAGACCCAGCACATATCGCTATCAAGTCAGCTGAGAGAGTCAATCCACAAACGCTCGGGCCGGCACGAGGAGTTTTCCCAAAGACTGCGCCAAAAGCCTCTAGAATAACACCATGTATATCGTCCTTGGCTACACCTCTCTTTATACAGCCCCGGGCCTCTAATCTTCCATGCATTTCTAAAACCCTTATGTCAGGGCCATATCCCACAAAACTCCAACACGTTCCCTTACCTCAAAACTCGCCACTATTCCAATCGTTCCCACAATGTGGCCACCCACAGCAAACCGCCTTGCCTTCCGAATCAAGAACCCAGTCCTCACTGCCACAGAACTACTTAACATGTCAACTGATGCCACAAAGCTCAGCGTTGTCGCTTTTCACGCCTGCGACACTGTCAACTCAGAATCGAATGGGAGCGTGGTCCGTAAAAAGAGGTCTTTTACCTGATCCTGTAACCCCCATACGGCAAACAGTGCCAGAACTGTCGTATCTGTCAGAACTACCACCATTGTGTACGCAATCCCAATCGTTGATGACGCATTTCCCGCCTACCTCGCAATCAGGATCATTCCATGCTCAGCTAGCGCCAGTTTTATCAAGTTCAACCGTGCCAACACAACAAGCACTGCCTACAGCATCATTCCCATCACCACCACCTCCACCACCATCATTACCACCACCACCACCCCCAC